CTATAGACACATTCTTATCTGTTTTTTCTTAACTAAAAAGAAAACAAAGTTTGTCATCTTCTTAATTTTCTTTTCTTTTTTTGGGTCAATTTATTTTTTTTTAATTTATATTAAAAAGTATATATTAGTAGTCTAGCTGTTAATGCCATTTATGATTAAAACTAGTACTATTTTTTCTTCTTTCTAATTTTTTTAAATAAATTAGCAAGAGGCATGAAGCTTACACCGTTCATACCTTGAACAATAAGTTTCTATTAGTCGTCATAACAATATTTCATTCAATTGATTTGGTTGTATTTATCTATTATTTTCATAGGTTGATCTAATTAATAAACAATGACTGAGTGCTAGCTAATAAGTTTTAGTTAATCATAATAAACAATGTAAGTGTTTTTTATCTATTCTAAAACATTATTTTAGTTAGTCGTTATAACGGTATTTCAGTTAATCAACTTATTATATATAGTTATTAAGCTATGATTGTGTTTGCCAATGCAATTAGATTGTTATAAATTAGTTCGTTATTTATTTCAATTAGTTATTATAACACTATTTCAATTGATCAACTTATTATATATAGTCTTAAATTTTAACTATTGTCTTTGTAGTTAAATTGTTGTAATTTAGCTAGTTATTTCAATTAATCAATGAGACTATTAAATTTTTTTTGTTTTCACTCACTATATTCATAATTAATCACCAAATCTTTTACCTACCACCCAAATGCACCTAGACATTTGATGCTTCAACAAAATTGAATACATTTTTGGTTTCCATCTATATAGATTCCAAGTTTTTAATTTCAATTTAAAATTAGTTTTTATTAGCTGGACCTCAAAAAACCAAAAAAAAAAAAAAAACCTCCTTCAAAATTATGTTATTTGAATAACCACAACAAAAGAAAAACTAAAACAATTTATTCTTATTTTAAAAATAAATTATTTAGTTTCGATGAATTAAAAATAATTATAAATGTGCTCCCATGTCTTGGATCTCCAATAACGACTAATTTCATTTTAGATTTGACCAATTGAGGAGCTAACAAACAATTAATCATTTTATTGAACTTACAAATGATATCAAGAAAAAAGGATATACAGAGATAAGCCATGTCAGATAAATTAACAGACCTTAATGGTGAAAGTTAACTGGAGGATTGATCTACAACAATCACGAAGATTAGGGGCTTATCT